CAAAATACCATGACTGGGCTCCTTTTAAGGGGAATTCCCACTTGGAAGTTATTTAAACTTGATTACACGTTACAAAAACGAGTGTAAAAAACGATCTGGAACCGTTAACTGCGTCAGCTATTGAAGAACTGTGGCAGCTTAGTTCATTAGTGTTTGGTTAAGCTTTTCACGAAAGTCTAGAAAACGAAATTCATCAGAAACCAAAATTCAAAGGCATCACCCCTCGTGTATTTAACATGACTATCATAAGATTATAAACGAGTTGCATTTGAGTACCATCTCTAGTATATACAATGGCTGCGAGAGAAGATTTGGGAAGCGAAGAACTAAGCTTTATCTTCAAGTCTCTGGCAGAGAAAGGAGAGGAAGACAGGCTATACGAGAAAGGCAGCAAATTTCTGTCCGGTCTTTTGCCACAGTATCTAACGTCCAAGCTAGAAAAAACTGAGAATTCTATTGTCATCAAGGCGTATGGAAGCGCAGCAGAAGAATTAACGTGTTATGAACCCTATGATCTAGGAGATGTGGATATCATGATCTTTCCAAATTCTTCTAAATTGACAATTCCCGAAGAACGGCTGGAATATTCACTAGAGAATCCACTGCACGTGAGAATCCGAGGAGACCATCANAAAATTCTTCCACGAGGAAAGCGAACCGTCACTTTCAAAAGTTTGGCCTAAATTTTTCAAGTTCGTCGTTTGTAATCCGTGTTAATCTTCTCCATCCTTATTAAAACCATCCTTGTTTCTTTATGATTTATTATTATCTTTTTGGTGTTTTTCTATCTTAGTAAACAACTATTTTCATGTTTCCTTCAATTTAAAGGTAATTTTGTACGTCGCCAAAATAACTCAAAATACCATGACTGGGCTCCTTTTAAGGGGAATTCCCACTTGGAAGTTATTTAAACTTGATTACACGTTACAAAAACGAGTGTAAAAAACGATCTGGAACCGTTAACTGCGTCAGCTATTGAACAACTGTGGCAGCTTAGTTCATTAGTGTTTGGTTAAGCTTTTCACGAAAGTCTAGAAAACGAAATTCATCAGAAACCGAAATTCAAAGGCATCACCCTTCGTGTATCTAACATGACTATCATAAGATTATAAACGAGTTGCATTTGAGTACCATCTCTAGTATATACAATGGCGGCGAGAGAAGATTTGGGACGCGAAGAACTAAGCTTTATCTTCAAGTCTCTGGCAGAGAAAGGAGAGGAAGGCAGGCTATACGAGAAAGGCAGCAAATTTCTGTCCGGTAGTTTGCCACAGTATCTAACGTCCAAGCTAGAAAAAACTGAGAACTCTATTGTCATCAAGGCGTATGGAAGCGCAGCAGAAGAATTAACGTGTTATGAACCCTGTGATCTAGGAGATGTGGATATCATGATCTTTCCAAATTCTTCTAAATTGACAATTCCCGAAGAACGGCTGGAATATTCACTGGAGAATCCACTGCACGTGAGAATCCGAGGAGACCATCACTCCGCTTTACAGCCCTGCCTCGTGAAACACACCGAGTATGTGGCCACGTCAGCTGTAAAGAATTTCCATCCTGCGATCTTTGGGCACATATCACCGAAATTAGTCAACTGTACTGCCCGCGCAATTCTGGCATTGTCATCTCTGGAAACGCTTTCACCTATTGTTACGGCTCACCTGAAAAACAAGACGACAAGCCCGGCCCTAAGCCTTAATTTGTCTCAGTCGCTGGGTACTGTTTCACACCTTCGGAAACAATGGGACAATCACTTGCTGATTTCGAAAGAAACACAGAGCGTCCCTAGTTTGACAGACGTAGTTAAAAACGAGAGTAAATTCCTGGCCAGTCTCGATACCAGGTATAGACGCAAAGTCGAACTATTTAGAAACATCGTGCAAAAATGCCGCTCAAATGATCTCGAATTTCTTCCAATGCTTTTGACTGATCTTTCTCAAGAGCATTTCAGTCGAGGTGAAGAGATCAGAGCCGGACTTCAAGACACCGAAAGTCGATCACAGAACAAATCCAAGCACAGTGATCCGCAATCTGTCACGGTGAAGAATGGCAAAGACGACGAAAGCGGAAGTAATCCGCACACCTGCTTTGATGTGACATCGCCCTCTAAAGATGGGTCGAGCGTGACTGTCACGACAAAAACATGTGGGGCTGTGTCACGCCAATCAACAACGCGAAGAAACTCAACAGAGATTTGTTCCCCATTACCAGAGGAACTGATGTCTAAGCAAGTGACTGAGTATGAAGGAACAGAAGGCCAAAGCGGAGAGAAAAATGGCGGAGACAGCAGTGAGAGCAAATGTCAGTCAAAAGCAGAACAGCAGCAGAAACGAACACAGTCAACCTCTAAAGATCTTCCAAGCCATCCAGATGCTAAAAGAGAAATGAAAAAAATAACTCATGAAATCAAAACCATGTATAATCGCTTGGTTGAACATCTGTTCGGTGCAGGAACTCAAGTGGAGGAAACGAAATTCCAGGGCACTGAAAAAACACAGCTCCACGAGAGAGTAAAATTTGGAATGGACATAGTTCCAGCATTCAGGACTCGTGGATGGCCGGAAGTCGCAAGGGAGTGGATCTCAAGAGATCGAAAATGGCCTTCCGCTGACATTGTCGACAAGGTTATTCAGGAAGGCTGCCATTTGGTAGTAAAACCCCCAAGGAATAATGGCAACCCAGATTGCGACTTCAGAATATCTTTCTCTCATGCAGAATATCTGCTAAGTCAAGAGATGAACCACATCCAGCGCGAGTGTTACCGTTGTCTAAAGCGATATCATCGGGCGTATCTCTCCACTCAACCAGCCAGTTTGGTGACATTCCATCTGAAGAACATTCTTCTGCAGACAATTGAAGAAACCGGAGTGGAAACGTGGACCGAAAGCAACAGAGCCGGGTGCGTGATGAAACTCCTTGGGAATCTTTTGAAAGCGCTCACAAAGAAAGACTTGCGTCACTTCTTTGTGAGATCCTACAATCTGTTTAGTGTGGATTATATTGAAGATCCCAAGATCCTTGAAATCCTGGCCTGGAAAGTTGAGCAGATCATGAGCGATCCCGTAAGATTCTCAAAAGAACTGATTCAGAAGCAAGCAGTTACAAGACAAATTAAAATGGACGACTGCGTTTCTGAGGGAAACGTTCCAAACGAGGAAGCAGCCCTGTCTGCAAAATCTGTCGCTGGCCAACGAGATGAAGGAAATAAGGCAGTTCCATGCCTTGGAAACTATGACAACCGACACAAGAAAGAAATGGAGGCACAAGGTGCCCTGCTAACGGAGGACGCGAAGCGAGGAGTCAGACCAACGGAGAGTGGTTATCGATACCACGGACTGAATGAAATTATCAGCGAGATCATTAATAAACTGATCGACCACCTCTTTCAAGAGATTAAACAAGTGAGTGAGCAGTTCAGCGACAAACTGGACTCGCTTAAGGTCTTCATCAGCTCTGATGAAGAAGTGAAGAATGGAGACGACGACATGACACAAGGGAAAACCTGTGAAGAAGCTTGGACATTATTGCGGAGAATCCTTGATCCCTCTGATGAAAATCCTTTCAATTTGAGCCACACATCATCATGTGAAGCTCCGTCACAAGTGATTAATAATTCGCATGGCATGCCATTAGACTGATTTTGACTTATTAGCGGGAGACATTTGACATTGTCATACATGGAGCAGTGGTGGATCTAGACTGTGCTCAAACGGAGAGGCAGGAGTTCTTAGATAGAATGCTAGAAAAAACGTACTTTACTTCTTAAGGTCATTCCCCAGTATTGCATTGCGCATCCCAACTGCGCATAATTTCACGCGTGATTAGCGCGCGCGCATTAAAAAATGTCGGCTTTTTCTTTACAGCTGGACCTCGCCATA